TTTATACCTTTGTCAAATGGAGTTTCAAAATGTGCAGTCTGAGTGTGTTCTTGCAAAGTTACCCTTCATTTCAATGATCAAGACTTAGTAAAAATCCACTTTTACGTGGCATATTTCATCTATTTTTTAAGCTGCAATAAAATCCCATCAGTCTGAAAATCGATAATCCATTGAGACGTTATGCAGATTTTCTTTTTCAATACCATGTTGGTTTTATGATTCCGGTTATTTTATGGTTTGCATTTCTATATGAACGAAAAAAAGTGGTTTTGATACCAGAAACGTATCTCAAAGGTATAATCGAACGGTGTTTTTTTTACAAAATATTCATGTGTTACTACGCAAATATGTTCGATTCCAACGAAGATACATAATTTCAATGTTACAGCACCCAAAGGTGGCACAAGTATGTAATGTAAACAAGTAAAAGCTTTTCAATTCACTCATTTCTAGCATGTGAAAGCCCCCTTGCTTTTGTGGCGTCACTATTCTTTTCGAAACTGCGACCACCAATCATAAAATATGGATAAGCTTGCGTACCCGACGCCATTTCGCTGGGTCGAAACACACAAAGTGCTTGAATTCAATTGAACGTTTAAATTTTTTATCCAAAAAAATCGCTTGGAAATAGTGAAAAAGCCATGTTTTGCGTAGAGCCGACTTTATAAGTGTGTTTGTATGCGCTTTTTTTTAAAAAGCGAAATTTGAAGTGAAGCAATATTCATTTGGGAAAAAACGGCTATTTGCTGTACTTGTTTGAAATTATGTTCAACACCATATCCAGTTAAACATTAAATAGACTCACTGTGTTGTCTCTCGTAAATGTGGCCTGAAATGCCGAACAATTTACAGTTCCGCTGAAGTGTATTCACATTGTGTAATTCCGGGCTGTAAAGATGTTAAATCTTCCAATAAATTGCGAGAAGTCTATCTTCTGCGATTTGCAAATGGTATTATGTGATTCCCTAAACACGATACATTTTTAATTTGTGTCCCTGTTTGAAGACGATTGGTGGAATTTCAAGCCTTTGCAAGGCTTATATTTCTTAAGAGTTTTCTTCGCTTTGAAACACTTCGAAGTATAACTTTTCGGAGACTCTGGTTCGATACAAACTATAGTATTCCGGGAATTCCCTTCACTTTTTGGTTGGGGAATTCTTTCGATTTCTGAAATATGCACACGTATCAGTAACTGTCCTCAAAATAAGCAAATAATGGTTTGAGTTCCTGGAATCAATCAATTGCACGTAATATATTATTAGCATGCATCAAGATACCCGAAAAGACTGAAAAAGATTTAGCTCGCTTTGTGACAAAGATTTGATTTCGACAAACTCATCAAAATTCTCTTCACAGTTTTAACAAGAGCCCACAAAGTTAAGTAATTGGTTTTTGAACACTTGCGAATGATTACTTCGCATATTGGCAATTATTTTGTGAACCGAAACAAAAAACAAAACCAAATAAATAAGAAAAAATGGTGGGAACTGCGTTTGTGTATAGTTTTTTTTTCGGAAAATATACGAGTTCGGATGAATTGTTGTTGTGTGGAGCGTATTATTCGGACGAGCAACACAAAAAATGAACGAAAACTGTTGACTGCCAACATAAAAAAAGGGTAAACAATGATGAGAGTGAATTACATATATACGAATTTTGTAAACAAATAGGGGGAAAAAAAGGTCAAACAATCGATAGGCCAATTATCAACAAACACACATAGAGAAAGGAAATTTGCATAAAACATCGATTAAATGCCAATTTAAACCATTCATCGAATTCAAATTTGCGGGTGCAACAATCAATTTAATTAAGCAAATGAAAAATGAACCTGGAAAAAGCGTGATAAATGAAAATACAGAGGCCACATGGAATGGAGTGAAAAATGATTGGTTTTCAGTTCAATTTGTCAAAAACTTTGCACGACACCGCAGCACATAGCTGAGTTATGAGCGTTACGGCCGAATGGAAATTCAACAAGTTTTAACAGGAAAATATGGGAGTTTTACATCTATCCAGAAATACACTGTCTAATTAATAACGTCTTTCGGACAGCTGGTGCTCTTCAAAAATACTTAAACTGCAACGAAATACATCTTTCTTTCCAAGTCATGGGAATTAGTGTTCTTCATAGCATATCGTATGAAGTAACAGTAATAATTTTAGAATTTCAATTGATAAAAGCGTTTGGTGGTGTAGTAATACTTCAATGTAAGTAATAATGAGTCAATTTTATCATATTGATTGACAAGGCGTTCACGTAAAATTTGAAATAATAAGCCGTGATGGCTTCCATTCATGATATGCATCTACTTTCATTTTATCCTTAATAATGCGCTTGATTAATGGAGCACAAATGTGGAGAGCGCTACAAATTGTTGAGCAGAGTTGAAGAAAGTAAGCTTATATACAACAAAAGAAGGAGCAAATGTTGAAAAATAAAAGATATAATGATTGCATGTTCTACTTCTGATTGATGCTGTCGCAGTTTATCAGTCACGATGGTTACGCGGTTCGCCTTCATTCTTTATATCATCGTGCAAAGCAATTATTATATTTTGCACTTTCTTCGTTTGCATTGCGTCAGACGGTGCACCCGTCTATCTTGGTGCATAAATTTGTCTTTATTCGCTCATCGTCTTTATTTATTAATATTTTTTTCCTTGTCTCTTTCCATTTGGGTGGCATGTTCACGTTCCGTTGTTCGACCATATTTCAGTGGTATATGTGAATTTGAAAACCATTATTTCAGCTGCTTCGTACGCATACACCATAGTAAATGGAAGAAAAACGCCCTACATGCGGATAAAAAGGTATACACTAGAGTGTCTTATATACGCCGTACCAAGTGAAAATGTGTATTTATGGTGTTTGTAAATTATTTAGTGTCGCTATTTTCGTGTTTTCATTGTATTCTTCGTTCGAATTTTTGTAGATGAATGTGGCAATGCCACATTGTGGCACTCTTGATTTGCCCAATTCTTATATCATTTGCCTCACATTAGATACGTTTATTTCGACGCAATTTCATTTCGAAATCAACTGGATTCTACAGATATTTTACTCGAGGACTATTTTCGTTGGTAAACTCAAAATTCAACTGCTGTGATTTATTAATTTCAAAGCCACGGAAATTTCTTCGACAACAAGTCGAAAATATGCCCAATTGAAAATGTTTCGGGAAATTTTCCACCGCACAGTACACACACACCTGGTGACCGAAATCAAAATGTGCTCAAATTGGAAACAAAACATCAATTGAAGTCTTGTCGTCATTGTCACAAAACCAGATTGAACAAACAATTACAAATTATGGCCAAACAAAACCGAATGAACTTATGCGGTTTGAAGCTTAAACCAATTTGAGCTCAACACAGGGCGTCGTATGAAACATTGAAACAAACACTGGTTTTCTATGTATACATACCCATCATAAAGCCATTCGGTATGGCGAGTTCATTTTATGTACGTAGTTGCAAACGAGAAATAAAATCGGAAAATGCAATTTAATCAAAATAATTACGAGCGTTGTGGTCGCCGCGTGCGTGCTGTGGCTTATCCATTTTTCGACAGGCGACATTCGATTTCGATGAAATATTATAGCAATCAATAAACATATTGCTTATTTATGGGCAACATAAAGTGTCGATCCATAAAATTGATACTAATTATACGTCACTTTGCCGTTTTCCATCTTCGACGACCGAAATATACACAACGCTCTCCGGAATATTAAGTGCCTGCACGAAGTTTGTAATGATATCTTATCAATTTTAATGAAATATTTCGGATCGAACAACTGAACGCTTTTTCGAAATTAAATTCGATTTTTAATGCCATCCCGAAAGTTGTTGTTATTTTCTTCATAAAATATCAATGGCTTTATTTCAGCCATAAGTTGTACATCGATATGATATTTCTCTATGTTAGAATGAGGGTATAAAAAAAAATCCAAAAACCATCAATTTACGGATATAATTTCAATATTTTAGCCGAAAAAAGTATTTAGTGTCAATCGATACGCTGAAATAGTTCTTAAACAGGAGGTTTTAAATCGAGCAACCGCCTATTTTTTCTGAAAGAAAAACCGAGGAATTTCATTTGACGCGCTCAAACTCACATATTTTCCAAAAATAACAGGAGAATATCCATTTTGCCCTAACTATTATTTCCAACAGGAAAAAAAGATAGAAAACTATTCACAATGGATCAGAGTTATGTAAAATACAGAGAGGTCCGTATATGATGTGTGAAACAGGAGAGATTCACAAATGAAAAATTCATTGGCGAAAAAATGATAGCGTTTCAAGAATGTGGTGAATGTGATGATGAATTGGTATGTGAGAGAAATATGGGGATGAAACACACATAAAAACACGTGGTAAATGTCTCAACGAAAAAAAAAGTTAAATGCGAAATTAATATTATAAGTTTAATTAAAGGACATTTTTTCTAATTCGGATCACTGTCACAGTTGCTGTTTGGCACTTTGTCATTTATTCAAAACCGAAGTCTACCGAGATGGGTTGGGGTGGTTGTGAGGAGAAGTGCACCATGACAGTGAGACGAATTAAAAAAGTATATCCTGCGTATATTGGATAATCATATATCAGTATTAATATTCTTAAGGATTAATATGTCAGTTGTAATGGTGTAAAAATAATCCTATCAAACAGTTCAGTCACTTATAACATGTTATAAATTATTATTAATATTTTTTTTCGTAAATATGTTTAACGTAATTCTTGGTACTTGTAATGAGCACGCACACATATAAATACTTCTTACTTATATAATAATAAAAATAGACATATAAAAGAGAAGAGATTATATATATATATATATATACGTATATATAAGGCATTTTCTGTTTGTTTGTACAGTTATACAGGAATGAGAGTACACAGAAAATATAATATATATATATATATTGATACACAGAGAGACATAGATAGAGACAGAGGGCACACGACATGAACAAAAATTTAGATGCTTACTACCTCTCCTTCGGCTCTTTTCCTTTCCAACTCTTTTAGTTTACGTTGTTCCTCAGCAATACGACCTTGGATTACGACTAATGATTCGCGGGTGAAGGGACGGAACAAGCAGCGTTCTTCCTCGGATATCGAACTTAAATCGTCTATCATTTTCTATAACCAACCCAATGAATAAAGTGCCTTATTCAAACCAAGGCCTAAAATTGAATCAAATCAAAACAAACGAAAAAAAAACAAATGGGAGAGACAGAGAGGGAGAAAAAAAAAGAACCAATCAAATTAGTCAAAATGTCGATAGAACTATGAACGACGATATATGGACGTTTTGAGTGTGTTGTGCTTGTGTGAATTGACAGCTAGTTTTTGTTATGTTTTTTTTTTAAATGTTTTTCTTTGGAATTGTCACACGCTATCTTTGATGCACTCTTATAATGTACACGTAATTAAATTGTCATTATCTCATCTTCAATTTGAATGCGAACGGTCATTTTCGGCTCGTCACAAACCAATTAAGTAATGAAAATGGACGAAAGGTCAACACGAAAAACCATGTGCTGTCGCTGCCACCAGATTGAAGCTCATAATTCTTTTTCTTCTTCTTTTTTTCCGATGCACGTCGTCTGGTTTAGAGTGACCAAAATGACTATTTTGCCCGAAACGCTTAATGGTTTGATACTGGGGATTTTGGATGCCAAAAGAAATGCGGAAACATGAAAAGTTTAATATAATTTTCCGCACTTAATGACCTCAATACCAACAGTGCAGCTGGCAAAAACCCATATTTTTTAACTACATTTTATATGCAAATTTCGACCAGGGCTGGAGAATTACAAACGACGCATATACTGCCATTTATGTGGCGCTCAGAGCTAAAGAGAAAATTCGATTAATTATGCATTAAATCAACTTTTTCTCATTTTAAGTTCTGCTTTGCTATTTACGCCAAAGTGTTTTTCTACCAATGGTTCACACAACAATCTAAACTATTTTAACTCAATTTACGGAACAAAGCACTTTATTGCATTAATGAAGAAAATAACTGGCTGCAGCTACTGATTCGATTAATTTTCCGTTGCACAGCAAAAGAAAGTACGATGAAATTTAGTGCATTTATTAAAATGGTTTCAAGCTGACGAAATTGAAGAAAAACTTGTTTCATTACAAATGATACATATATTTTCTTCAAACTGTGCGATGAAAATGCAGCTAGTTCACGTTTCAGTACTTTAATTTATGTTTGTTAACTGAACTGAATGCGAAGCGTTGACATGTAAACGTGTTGTGGACAGAGAGATAATACGCCTACACAACAATATGTATGAATGAAATTCTTCCTAAGAAACGAAATATGATTGACATAGTGTTCACTGATAAACAAACAGTAGTCTTATTAATTCAGTTAGCTTCGAATGCTTATGTACTTCTTGGAGCGGTGTGTACATTCGCCTCAGCTAGAGAGAGAGAGAGAAATAAAATTTGCTGAAAACGAAGAATTTCCAGTGAAATGAAGAAAAGTAGAACTCTCCCGCTCTCTCTCTCTCTCTCTCTCTCTCTCTCTCTCTCTCTCTCTCTCTCTGGTCTTGTCAACGTGTAAAAGTTTTTTTTCTGCTTCGCTGAAATTGAGTTAAATGTTTCTTCTATTGAATGAGTTTTGTCAATGTTGGCTTTGTCGTCTTGTTTCTTATGTTTCACAAATGGATTGAATTAAATGGAAAGACATACATGGCAAAGAAATGACAATGGTTAATGGAATGGATTTGTTGAATTACCTGCTAACAATGATGTATTGAAGGGGCACGAAGCAGGCCTCCACTTAAGTGTGGGAACAACGGCTGGCTCGGGCCCCACGAGCTAACTGCATTGCGCAAGCATGCAAAGGAATGAATAAAATTCAAGAGTTTTTTTTTCAAATTAAAATTGTAATTGTAAATGTTTATTTAAAAAAAATTATTTTTTTTGTTCCATAACTCACCTGTCGTTCGAATAGGAATCAGGATCGCGGCAAATTTAGTCACAGTAGTTTCACGACAACAACTGGGACTCGAAACAATCCAGTGGCCAACAATTTTTCTCATGACCGCCCTATGAAGGAAAGAAAAAGATGAAAGAAATTCGATTATGTAATAATCCAAGGGGGATCCCTAAATTCGATTCGAAGAATCAGAAATGAGAACCAGTGCGGTGTTGTTCACATACATGTGGTACATGAATATTGCTGGAGTTGAATTTCAACTATGTTTGAGGCGTCATGGTGAATGGACGCCGTCTTTTCGTAGTCGACAATCAAATCAAAATGACGCTACGCTTCAACGGCCACTGCAAGAAAAAAATGATGAAAGTAAATTAAATCGCGAAATATACCAATTTTAATTGAAAATTTGTTCCGCTCACACAGTCAAGAAGATGTCGAATCATTCGTTCATTTGTTGCTGTATTGCAACAACGGACAACTTTTTGGCACATTTGCTACCGAAATAAAAATACAAAGTTGAAAACAGAAAACCAGAATCCGATTTGCATTTTAATTTTATGTATTTCGTTTTTTGATGTGCTACGCCATTTCGGAGAGCATCGAGAAGGTTCATGGAATGAAGGAATCAGCATTGTATTTGTCATTCAAATGCAATAAAAAAAGTTTGCAACGTGTGTTAAAATTTCATCAACAGCAAGAGAGACAAGACAAACTGGATCGAACTGGATCTTCTGTGTTGAACAGAAGGAATATGAATGAATAAAACACCTGTTTCCATGACAACGATACACATAGCAGTACATCACTTGCACGCTTCTTCATGTTTGAGCCTGCAACACATTCACTCAGCCACACACACACACATATACGCACACACTCACATACAAATACCGAAGAAAAATTCCAAATTCCCGAGAACGCTCAAACTCTCCAATACATAGACCTTCTATCCGCTCGTTAATCTAGGCCATTTACTCCGAAGGAGTTTTGGGACACCATGTAGGATGTATTTTTCTTTTTTTTGTTGTTGTGGTTCGATGAAAAGGCTGTTTCAAACCACACATTGAAAAGCGATTTTCCTGAAACGAATACGAAGAACATGAATGTGTTTGCGCATCAATAGAATTCATGTTGTTCCTCGTCGGTTTGCATATATATACATTTTCCATCACCTGCAAGCAGTGCTACGGTGGCTACTATGTGTGTTCGTTTACCAACCCGAATGCTTTCACACCGAACCGAAACGAGAACTGCGACAAAATATACACACTGGCTTGATTTTGTTACCCTAAAACATTACTTGACATACATTCGAACCGACCGATGCAGCAAGCGACTGTGTTTTGTGTGCCACCAAACACAAAAGCACCACTTCATACACTCGAAACGAAGCAACGGCGACGGAAAAATCGAAACGAAACCAAAAGCAATGCTTTCAAACGATGACTGCTCTCTCTCTCTGTGTGTGAATGTGAACACACACACAGACAGCCCGCATGCGTATTATTCCTCGTTCAGAAGTGATTCACTCACAGCACTCTTTCGCGCGCGTTCATTCGCTCTCTCAGTCGTGACGGTTGTGCAGAAACAAGCCAGTGCAAATTAGTGTGAAATAGCCAAGCAAATGGAAAGTGATTCCATGCAAGTTTTCACCTCTGCGAATGAATGAATGTGACTTTAGTAATTAAGAGGTAATGCAAAGACTCGATGGATTCACTCAGCTATTTCGGTGGCAAAGCACAAAGAGAAAATGAATGAATGAAAGCATGAATTCAAAGAGAATCATTTGTCATGCTTTCAAATCCATTGAAATTCGTTGAATGAAAATGTAAAAAAAAAATTCCGTGTATTTTTTCTCGTTGAATTTAGTCCAGCGCAAATACCCAATTCATACAGTTTTGCTTTCATTCACAACATTGCAGTTTAGATTGAATTTAATTGGAAATTAGGGCAACTACAATGATACTGCCTCGGCCATTTGGCCTGATTATTATTATTGATTGAACGACAAAACGATTGGATCAATTCGACGACCATGCCAACGTATAAAGCGTGATTTGACTTTTGCCAAATTTTGATTCTTTTTAACCTTGTCATGGGATTATATTGAATTGAGCGGTTGTATGCCCCCGCAAAACGACACGAATCTACCAAAGGGCATGGGCACGAATCAATGTAACTGACAATTCTGACATTGATGTTATCATCATTTATCAAGAATATAATCCAACAAAGCAGGAATGAATTCGATTTCTGTTCGTCGTTTTTTCTTCTCTCTTTCGACGTCCCTCTGCTTCTCTACGTCTATCGTAGTGTGTGGCTAAGCCATGTCGCGCCCTGACTTTGATTGAAGAGCCAATGTTATTTTTGTAGTAAGAAGCACAGATGTTGTTAATTTAATTTTACAAACGGTATTTCCATTGAAAACACGAAAAACCACTCCAAATATTTGGTTGATATCGTTGAATCGCTCGATTTTTTTTTAAAGAGGATTTCAATGAGCAGCATCACATGAGCGTGCCCGTTTCGAAGATGGTCGGTATTAAATTGCAAATTCCTCGAAAACAATTTCTTAAATGAAGCATGAAAGTGGATTCTATGTTTTGAAGAGATGAAATTGATTCAGTCATTTGACGAACCATAGAAAATCAGACAAAAATTGCCCACTTCTTATAAATCTTGGTTATTTTATATAAATCTATTCAATTTTATCTAATTTTCTTCTTCTCTAGAATCCCACAAAGTTGTTGTCTTCGTATTTATGGTGACTGACAGAGACAGTAAAGCAGAGAGAGAAAAATTGGAATTCTTCAATTCACTCATAAAAATAAATTCTTCTTTTAAATCGTCTTCATTTCATTTCGCTCGAATTTACGTTACAAATCTCGAATGTTTTGTCTGAAGAGTTTTTACCTAAGTAATTGCCGCTGTTAAAATACTAAATTCGTTTGAAGGGAAAAAATCCGTTGACAAATAACGTGTTGTAGAAAGTTAAATTCTGACTCGTAGTAATTTGATAAACTCATCTTTGGTACATGTTTGGGGAAAAAACTTTTCACACAACATTTTATTAAAAGCATGATGAAATCGCTTCAAGTGAGAACTTGTGAAAACGAATGCCTAAAATTCATTATTTCTCCTCAATTTTACATTCAAGTCTAGAAAAGGAATATAATAGACGAAAAAAAACTCGGTACTAAACTCATAATGTTCATCACAATTTAATATGGTTTTAGGGTGCGCCCACATTGATGTTGAACGTTGTAACGAATAGGGCATTGAACATAAAAGCACTGATATGACGTACGACGCGAGGGCGTCAAAAAGTGTATGTTTCTCCTTTTTTTTCAGCTAAATGGTTAAAACAAATGCGAATTTCAGAAGAAACAAAAATCAAAACGCACACAGCTAAATTCTCCAAATACTTTGTGTTCAATCTAATTTTAATGAGTATTTATATTCTCTTTTTTCATGCTGTCCGATACGTTGGATTGTTGATTTTCGGTTTTGTTATATTTTGCTCGTTAAACGCGTTTTCCTGTTATTTATGCTTGTACTTCATGAAATGGTTATGTAGAAAATGCGATGATTTTCTTCGTGTACTCAAGTTAATATCTTCAGGATATATTTTGATACAAAATGTACAACAAACTATAGAAGTAAAGTAATAAGTAACTTATTACTTATTACTTTCATTTTATTACTGTAATAAGATGGACTTATTACTTATTATGCATACTTTTGAAGAAAACTTTCATACAAAAAACATGTAAATTTTTGTCAGACCAAAAAATGTTGAAAAAAATGTGTCTTGCAAAATTTGACATGATTTTTGCAAGACACATTTTTTCGTCTGACAAAAATTTACATGTTTTTTACATGAAACTATTTTTGGGATTTTTTTTTTTGCACCAAAAGTAATAAGATACTTATTACAATCTTATTACAGTTACAATCTTATTACAGTTACAATCTTATTACCGTAATAAGATGATCTTATTACTTATTACAATCATCTTATTACAATCTTATTACTGTAATAAGATGGACTTACAAAGTAATAAGATGAGTAATAAGTAATAGGTCATCTTATTGCAGTAATAAGTAGGTAATAAAGTAATAAGAATTACATTTTTTTACTTCTATACAGCAAACTACAAGTACACGCTGGAATCTAAGGGAAATTGTATGAACGCAGAACCTCATAGAAATCAAATTTTTTGGAGTCTACAAGAGTTATGGATAAATAATGACCTCAGATTCTGGGCACACCATACCGTTTTCCGTTTTAAATTTCAGTGTATCTATTTTCCATTCCCAATGCATGATAGTCCCTTTCCAATTTCAAGCAATTTTTTGCCATTTTCTCATCAAATAGTGTTTTGCGAAAGCCTTCCATGTTGAAATGTTTACAAAAACCAAGGGTTCAAATCACGAATGTCTGTTGAAACTATTAAGATTTGATACGGGTATTCACTTTTGTAACTTGTTCATTTTTTGTTTTCAAATTTCCTTTAATTAACACTAATTTTCGGCTCTCATGTTCATGACAATGGCTTGAACAATTGGAAATTGGCCCAAATTAATCTGCGATAAATTAATCGAACTGTCGAATCAATTAACACGATTATATGAGATTAATATGCAAAACTAGTGGCAAGAAACCACATAGATTTTGACATTAAATGCATTGGAATTTTTCGTTTTTCACCAATTTCAGTCCTCTTATAAGTATTTAGTCATGCAAGTTTGATCAAATCATCGTATGGGATCCACTTAGAGTAAGTATTCCATATAGGAAAAGGGTATTCGGTAAAATTAAAAACTATTCACTTGAGATAATCCAGTTGAAATATGTATAAAAATATTGACAAATTGTGCAATGGATCTGTAAACGAGTAAATTGAGCTTTCTATTCTTCCATTCAGTTTTCAAATCTTTCTATAAATAACATTGATTGATAGTGATTAAACCGGAATAAACTGATTCAAAATGCATTAACAACGGTCATTAGGCACTTTCACCGCATACAAGAAGAGGCTTTATGTGGACTATCATTGAATTGTGGGTTATCGTGTGGTTTTTGCACATTAGCCGTACGAAGAAGTTCAGTGATTCGATTTATTCATCTTGTCATATTTGTATATGTATATTATACATAAGCCTTTTTGAATAGAAAATGCCAGAGAGAGTGAAATGGAGGAAGATCGAGGAAACACACTTGAAAGAAAGCATGAAACACAAGATGGAAATCAGAATGAAAAAAGAAAAGAAAAGCATTTTCATTGAATCATCGCAATGGTTCGTCCGCTGTCGGATTTTCCATATTTGTATAATGTACATA